CTGGTGCTAGCGACGTTTCCTCCTTTGTTCAGAAACGCCAAAGAAATAGGTAATTGAATGCGAAGAACTAATCCTTGCAAAAAATTTCAGTTTGCGCTCAGTGTTTTCTTCTGCTATATTGTCATTGTGATATTCACATTCTTGTTATTTATACTGTTTTATTCCGATACAACAGAAGGCCTTTCCGCGCATAGCATACTCATTTATTCAATCAAAAATTATCATACCAATAGGAATCTGGCTGACTTCGTTGATTACATTCAGGAACAGGTGAATTTTCTCCGTATTTCTTTATCTTTCTACCAATTAAAAAAATATATATACGAAGATGATGCTTTATTTTGAACAACTGTATGCCTCGTGAAACTGTAGAAAGAAAATTTGGAAGGGAAACGTGCATATGGTGAGTACCAAAAAAGTAATATTATTTTTGATAGATTATAACTTTCCATCAAAATCTTGCTTTAGTTTCGACATATCATCAGACTTTCAAACAAAAAATGCGTGCAGCATCTTTTCCGTAATATTCTTACTGCATAGCTGCCTGTAGCACCTGTTAACAACGGGCATGGGATATCCTCACTGATTGCTCGGGCGATCTTGCTGTCATTGTTATTTATTATTAGTGTATTGTTTTTATTATTTTACTGCTTGCAAAATACATCGAAAATCAAAATATTTTGATTTTTAGTCTGATCGCTTTTTCTCTATTTTTTCTAATTTGCTGCAGCTACAAGGGATTTTTTTTTTCCTCTAGCATGCGTTCATGCAAATAAATTCCATTGAAAATCACTTATCTACAATGACGATTTTAATGGATAGGGTGTATGATTCTACTGCAGCTGGAATGTTGCGGTGTCTCGTCTGCGTCTCAAGGCTATCGGGACTGGCAAATATCGAACCAGTTCAATTGTAATGCTACCAATCCGTATCCGGAAAAGTGTGGTGTACCATTCAGTTGCTGCAAGCGTTCAGTGGTAAAATTATTTCACTGTTATACATTTTTATAAAAACGATTGACACAAATTGTTTTGATGAAACGATGTAAATTTTGTTGTGTGTATGTATGTATATATGTATGCATGTGTGTATGTATGTTTGTAGGTATGTTTTTTTTTTGTATGTACGTATGCATGTGTGGTTGTGTGAATGCATATTGGATGTGTGTTTGTGTCTGCTTCCGTTTGGTAATTCATTTCGAGAATTACAGGGGTTAGAAGGCTGGATTTTTGGTAACGTTGTCCCCAACCATATACAGAGCTACAAAACTGGAATTAACCATTCGCCTCAATATACTGTTGTATGTTGGAAATATAAGTTACAAGCTAAAATGCTAAAAAATTGTTTATCAGATTGTTTGGTGGAGAAAGCTCGAAACCAGATCGCAGTCTCGCAAAGCATAACTTTCTGTACACAGATGGAAACAAAACAAACCAAATTATTTAAGAATGATCATAAAGTAAATCCTCCCCTTTTTCTTCCTTCCCGCTCCATCTTCTTAAGACCACCAAAATTAGCGTTGCTTGGGAGTCCTTTCTCCTTTGTATCTATTCATTCTTTTCAGCTGCTAAAGAAGACACTGACGTTACCTTTACCACCGATACCAACAAATGCATCATTTTTTGACTTCTAAAGAACTAACTTCCATGCTTTTTGAATATCAAACGAAATACGTGCCCGAATGTGAAACAGCAAATTACATACGAGCCCGCAGCATGCAGCATGTTGTATTGCTTTTGTAGAATTCTAGAGTGCGAAGTTAAAATATTTGAAGCAGCTCAATTTTTAAGGCTTGCAGACCCATATCTCGTAGCCTGCATCAAATCTGCAAGGTCGTTGTAAATCGCGAATTTCACGGCCTTTTGATAGCCTATTCCCCGATTTTCATTGTTTGGTTGTTAAAGGTGTCGGAGGCAGCAGCCGGCTCCACGAATCCACTGCTACCGGCGATGCGCTCACTGGAATGCTGGCAAAATGCGCAAAGAAAACGACCGCAGGAGCTAGAAGCTGACTTGCATACTCGTGGCTGCTTGCAACCATTACGGATTTTGTTCGAAAGTCATGCCATACATGTTGGTGCAGCTGTTGCCATTGTCATTGTGCCTGTTGTAAGTTTTCATACAAGTTTTTTCCCTTTCATGCAGGACGTTTTGGGATGTAACATCATCCCAGCCCTTTCCCCTGCATGCAAGAAGAGGCCAAAACACAGCCAGTATGAATCTAGGTGTTAAAATACACCGCAGGACCATTTCTGCTATTAGCGATCTGCAAACTTAGCACAAAAACGCACCATCGCAACGGCAAGCCTGGTGCTTTGCAGCCCTGTGTTATGCGTTTTTGCTGTGAGGTCGATTGTGTGTGTGTGTGTTTATGTGTGTGCTTGCGTGTTCGGAAGTGAGTGAACTTTGTCAATTTTGCATTTTTTCGAGGAACGACCGTTCACTGGGAGAAGAACCAGGCTTAATGCAAATCATTGGGCGATGCGCATCAGGCGAGCTCGTGCGATCATGCGTTTTTGCACTATTTCATGCTGTAGTAAGATCGCTTGAAATCCTAGTAGCTAGAATTTGTGACAAACTGGTGCTGGAAGCTCAGAAAGTTAATTGTGCAACTACGTGGTACTTGGATAGTGGAAATTCCCTCAAAATTTCAGCTTGCCAGCTTTTTTGGTTCCTGAGTCAGCGATTTTCCCGCCAAAAACATTAACGGAGGTGTACGTGAGGACTACGCA